GCAATATTTAGCTTTTTCAGCCATGTTTTTCCTCATTGAAACTGAATGGAGCTCTCCACGTCCTTCAAACTCTTTAAAACCTTTAACTGCTCATTTTAGCTAAATTCAGATTTTTTGTTGCAACTTTCAGCTTCATTCTGCTAAATGCAGATTTTTCAGCTAGTGTTTTGGTATTTTTCTACTAATTTTAGCATTTTTTCCAGCTTTTTTTTTAAATTTCAAACTTTTGTGCTTCAACCTTTTAGTTTCATCTTTGCTTTTTCCACTCATTTCAGTTTATTATTGTTCTTTTGCAATCCATTCAGCCTCTCTCTGCCTTTTTCAGCCTTTTCTACACATTTCTGGCCTTTTTTTAATTTATTTATTTCTGTTTTTATTTTCCTGCTTTCAGTAAATGTCAGCTGTTCAAATTAAACTCACATAAATTGTTTTGTAATTCAATATTTTCAGCTTCTTCAGCAGCGTTCAGACAAAATCGTTCAGCAAAAAGCATTCACACTATATTGTCACAAAATGGCAATTTTTCTAGTTCTTATATATTTTTTTGCGTATTTTCTTTGCAATACTTTAGTATTGTATAAAGTACAACTACCAAAGTCTCCTGACTGATCCACACAACTTAACGTACAATTTGTTTTATTTTAAAGCTGGGCAAACAAATCCAAATCAATGCTTTAAATCACTCAGCTGAAGAAAACTGCAAAGTTCAACAGCGACGAGCTACAACAATAATCATAAGAAGTTTACCTGTAGCAGATTAAAGTCACGTCTTCAGCATCAAAGTTAAGAAATGAGATTAGACTCAAAAACTGGCAGAAAACTATTCAAAACTTAAAGTGCGACTTATTTGCAGGCACTACCATAAGGTTTGAAAATTAAATTTTAAATTTCAGCTGACGTCCTGGATCATGTGGACGCATTTAAACAGCTTCAGTGTGGAAATTAGACTTTAATATTCAGAGCTCAAAGATTTATCTGGTATAAACTCTGCATGCTGGTTCCACAGGATGAGGCAAACACTGCTTCATAATCAACTGTGCACACACACACACACACACACACACACACAGGGAGCGCTCACGCTGG